AGGCAGGTTGGCTTGATCTCCCTGGCAGCCCTGTGCCCACTGCTCACAGTTGAAGAAAGAGCTCCAGACAGGGTCAGCAGCCTCATGGAATGGCAATGCTGTGTCATCACCAAGCCTCTGGGGTGCATTGGCCATGGCTGCAATGTCAGTTCTCACCCAGCACTCGGAGGCAGAGGCAGGTGGATCTCTGTAAGTTCGAGGCCAGCTTGCTCTACAGAGTGAGTGTCAGGACAGGCTCCAAAGCTACAGAGAAACCCTGTCTCAAAAAACAAAACAAAACAAAAAGGCAGTATACTTTAATTGGTGAGAGGCTCAGTGAGAGACCCTGTCTCAGATAACAAGGTTGGGGAACGGGAAAATACCTCAGTGGGTAAATTTGTGTGTAGTGCAAGTCTGATAACCTGGTCTGAGATCCCCAGAGCATACCTAAAAGCTGTACACAACAGCACTTGTTGTAATCCCATTATGCCCTATAAGAAATGGACAGGTCAACAGAACTACCTGAAGCTCTTAGGCTCTTAGGCTAGCTTGCCTGGCATGTGCAGTAGTGAGCCTCAAATAAGGCTTGACTTCATACACACACATACTTATATGTAATAGTCCTTTTTGTCGCTCCCAAATAATGACACAGAAACATATTAATTATGAAAGCTTATCCTTAGTTTAGGCTTGTTCCACTAGCTCTTATAACTTCAATTAACCCATATATATATATATACACATATATATATATATATATCTCAATCTATGTTCTACCATGTGGCTATGTGGCTTTTACTTCTCTCCCATTCTATATGTCTGACTCTTCCACACTTGGCTGGCTTCTCTGCCTCTCTTCAGAGTCCTCTCTGTACCTGCAATCCTGCCTATACCTCCTGCTACCTATACCTCCTGCCTAGCTCTTTTATTTAGCTATTTAGCTCTTTATTAAACCAATCAGAAGGTGCCTTGACAAACATAATCCTTACATTGTAAAAAAGAATATTCCACAACTTGTATACATCACAAATACATTATACATATATAACACAAACATTATTAATATGTAGCACACACATTATACTTATATGCAATACACATATTATGCATATACAACATAAATACACTGTACACATACACATATGCACACAGATCAGGAAGACATTAAGAATCCCAACATTGATCTCTGGCTTCCATATATAAAAACTCTCACACACACACACATACACACACACACACACTCACATGCTCACATACACACACAAACATGTACATACAAATACAGCAATCATTAATGCAAAAAATAATTTAATTTAAAACAGAGAATGGTTTAATCCCATGGGGCACCTGGGAAACAGAGGCACATAGATCTTTGAGGCCAGCCTAGTCTACCTACATAGCAAGTTTGAGAACACATAGGGCTACAAAATGAGACCTTGTCTCAAATTCTTCAAGACAAAAAAGTTGTGGATGCAGAGCTGCTACAGGCCTCTGGGAGGCAGCCCAGCAGTGGGCCTAGTCTGCAGAGGGCTGCTGCCCCCAGCAGTAAGGATTGTGGAGCTCTCCCTAGTTTCTTCCTGAAAGCTTCTTAGATACCCTCACCAAGGGAGCTTTGGCAATCACCCAGTGCCATTTGGAGGGATTATTTCCTTCTTCCCGTGCTGTGGGGAGATGGGTAGGATAGGCTGTATAACCAGAAGAGCAAATTCATGGACCCAAATTCATGAGTAAACAAAGGGAATCTTTTGCTATTGTTTTTAATCTCACAGGTATGGGAGTTTTGGCTGTATGTTTGTGAGCCACATGCATGTCTTATGTCCACAAAGACCCGAGGATGGTAGCAACCATGTGGGTGCTGGGAACTCACCCCAGGTCTTGGGTGTGAGTTAAAAGCCTGTGGTGCCTTTAACTGCTGAACCATCTCTCCAGCCCCACAGAAACATAGAAAGAAAAAAGAGAAGGAAGAAGAAACCAAGCTAGTGTTGATCTCTTCTCCCTGCTTTCTGTTCACATCAAAGAAGCCTAGTGTACAAAACTAACAGCCTCGGTAAGCTAGTGCCCAATGGCCTGAAAATAAAGCTGTTTTCCCTTCCTCCTCTCCTTACCGGAGTTGTAGGGGGTGCGTGGGGTTGGGAACCTGAAAGGTCAGGACCTGGCAAAATCTATGTTGTGAGACTTAATTCAAATCTCTGCTTAGGAACTGATTCATTGAGGATTGGAACACTTCCTTTGAAATGTTGGCTGCAACAGCAGACAGGAATGGCAGGTTTCTACATAAAAGACTTAAATGATCAGCAGTCCCAGGTTGCAGGCATCACCAGGTAAACAGTGAGGAGAGCAGCAACAAAAGCCCTTTCCCAGAAGCCTCTCTCCTCAGGGTAGTGACTCAGAGGAAGACCACTGGGGGAGATGGCTTGGAAGAGCAGCCCAGTATTTCGAAAACTCCAGTTCTGATGAAAACTGACCGTGTTGGGCCATTTGACTCCTTCAGATTTTCTGGGCTGGATGTTTTCACTTCTCTGGGTTTTCACATGCTGTGGACTTAGATGTGAATGTGCTGGCTTTCACTCTAAAGCTGTGCTGACCTGGCTGGTGTAGCCTAGGAAGCTTCAGATGAACCCTGATTCAATCACTGGCTAATACTCACAGCCTATGTCTGTAAGGAAAAGATGTCTTTGGCAGACTTCCACCTCCCCTTAAAGTCAAGTTCAAAAGCATTAAGACAACATTTATCTTGTCAGCCCTAATTTACTTTTTTGTTGTTTTGTCTTTTAGCTTTTTGAGACAGGTTCTCATTATGTAGCCCGGCCAGACCTGGAAATCATGATGCAGGGCAGGCTGGGCTTGATTTGCAGCAATTTGCTTGCCTCTGCCTCCCTAGTGTATTACCACACCCAGCTTCTTGTTTTTGTTGTTTGGTGTGTGTGGTGCATGCATGGCTGTGTGAGCAGGCTAAAGGACATCATTTACCTTCCTCTATCAATCTCCCTCATCCCCTCAGGATAGGGTACACCTCAGTGAAACTGAAGTTCACCAGTGCTGCTAGACTGGCTAGCCACTGAGTATCCAGGATCCATCTGTCCCTTTCCCCTAATAATGGGGTTAAAGGTATAAATAAGTGGTCATGTCTGACTTTTTCTGTGGAATTGAACTCAGGTCCTCATACTTGCAGAGCAAGTGCTTTTATACACTGAGCCATCTTCTTAGGCTCTTGGCTTGTTTTAAATTTTTTTTTTTCTTTTTTTTTAAAGTCTCACTGGCTGGCATGAACTGGATAGGTAAATTAGACTGGTTTCAAACTCAGAGACTGGTCTGCCTCCAGGGTGCTGGGATTAAAGGCATGTGCTACAATACTCTACAAATTGAATTTATTTATTTTTAAACTTTATTACATTTTACTTATTCAGTGTGTGTGTGTGTGTTTGTATGTGCACAGCATGCATATCGAGGTCAGAGAACAACTTGCAAGAGCTGATTCTCTTCTATCATGTGGGTCCCTGGGACCAAACTCATACCTTCAGGTTTGGCAGCAAGTGCTTTCACCCACTGAGCCATCTCACTGGCCCTTGAATTTGTTTGTAACGCAGAAAATCTTAAAAATTGTACATACTAATGCTGCCCCAACCTGTGAAGCCTGTGTGTAACATCATTCCACTCTGCCCTGCCTGTCACTGTGAGAAGTGACATTGTAGCCATGGCCAATGCACCCCAGAGGCTTGGTGATGACACAGCATTGCCATTCCATGAGGCTGCTGACCCTGTCTGGAGCTCTTTCTTCAACTGTGAGCAGTGGGCACAGGGCTGCCAGGGAGATCAAGCCATCCTGCCTGAAATGCCTCAGTAGGGATTGGGGCAGTCCTGGGAGTCTGTCAGACCATGTGGGCATGGCCTTCCAGAAGTGTCCTGTGCTTCCCCCCACCCACCCACATTGTTTGCTCAAGGTGAGACCATCTTTCCCAGCTGTTGTCAGAGCAAACAGGAACCTGAGAGCTTAGTCACCTGGGGAGGAAGCCCCTCCTGCCTCCAGAGGATTAGGCTTCTGGGGCCAATGATGTGGATGGACTCAGTGCTTTGCCCTGCAGAACTCCACAGAAAAGATGCCCACTTCACGCTGGAATTTGGAGATGAACTATGGGAGAGAACAGCCCTACTTGAGCTCCTTCTGTGGCGTGGGCCCTTGGGGGCAGGGAGGCTTTCCTTTCTCTCCTTCCTCGCTACATCACAGCAGTTCCCGCTGGCACTTCTCTGTGCACCCATGCTGAGTGTGAGACAGTTCACACCTAAGATCCCAGCATTTGTGAGGCAAACAGGAGGACTGGGATTTCATCACAAGCCCTGGCTACATCAAGAGTTCAAGGCCAGACTAAACAATAGAAGACTCTCCCACAGAGAACAAAATGAAATAATCAACAAAAATCTAGCTGGTAAAATGCTGACAATTGTTAATACTGTGAGCTCAGTTTATTTATTTTTATTTTTTGAGACAGGGTTTCTTTGTAGCTTTGGAGCCTGTCCTGGAACTCTCTGTAGACCAGCCTGGTCTCCCAGAGATCTGCCTGTCTCTGCTTCCCCAGTCCTGGGAATAAAGGCAAAGCCCAGTTTATCAAATTCACAGTTTTTATGCATAGTTGAATATTCTTATGATATAAAGTCTTATATATCTCACTTCTGGGAGATATATATATATGTACATATAATATATATGTATATAATACATGCACACACACACATATATACATACATACATACATACATATTTGGAGACAGAGTTTCTTTGTGTAGCCCTGGCTGCTCTGGAAATTGCTTATAGACCAGGTTGGCCTTAAACTCAGAACTCAGATCCACCTGCCTCTGCCTCCCAGTGCTGGCACTAAAGGCATGAGCCGCCACTGCCTGGCTCATAATTTGTATCTTAAAGAAAAAGCTTCAGGTAGCCATTTTCAAATCACAATAGTAAAAACTGGGAACACATTTAAGGTCTCAAAGTAGGTAAATCACAAACTATGGAACATCCGTCAGTGGAAGTTTATATAATTAAAAGCATTTATTCATCTATGTGTGAACAGTGAAAACATGATGTGTAGTTAAGTAAAAACCCAAGATAGTAAACAGTATATTCTGCATGGTAATGTAGATTGGTATCTTAAAAAAATTGAATTACAAAAATAACTTGATATACTCAGAATGTGGTTTCTTCTCCAACCTCTAGCATAATGGGCTGGCCACTCAGCCAAGCTAGTACCAGCCTCTGCTTTTACCCCTCCTCTCATCCATCTCCTCATTAAACACAGCCAGATCTCCGTCTTCTGTCCAAAACCCATGAGGAGGCCCTGTGGCCCCACACAAAGCTAAGTCTGTGGGTGTCACCTTTCTGCTTGCCTACTGTTCTTTCCTCACTGTCCTTGCTATACCTCCCTCTCCAGCCTCTGGGCCTTGGCAGATGCCATGCTTGCTGCTGAGAATGTGCGGCCTCCTTAGCTGAGGAAGTTCTCCTTTTATTAAAATGGCTTTCCTGTTCCACACCCTTGGCTTTCTCCACAGCACTTGCATTCCACAGTACACATGCTTTGCCTCCTTCCTTTCTGAGCAATCCAATCCCTTGAAGCTTTCTCTGCCACATCCTCCTTTCCTTGCACACAGTAGGTGTGTAAACACTTCCAGAGGGCTGGAAGCTACTGGTAGGCTTCCTGTCTGTCTCGTTCTTCTAGAGGTGGCAGCAGAAGCCAACAGCAGATATGCAGCAGCAGCCAGGGTGGTTCACAATGGCTCTCTTTCACGTTTATAACGTGCAATAGCTGACTTGAAGCTTACAAAACTGTCAGACAACACTGACAGGGAAGAAACTGAGGCAAAGAGTACAGTGCTTACCACAGGCAAGAGCCCAGCGCCCTTCAGGAATACTGTGCCAACAGGATGGTCTGCATGGCCACCCACCAAGGCCCCAGCATCTCAATGTCCCTGTGCAAGGCAGGATTTAGATTCACCGGATCAGGACTCTCAGGCTCTGAGGAGCGAGAACTGTAGTCTCAGAAGCACCTCACCACACATCAGCAGGCAGTGCACTGGCTGGAAAGGCAAAGGTTGTTCCCAAGCTGGGGCTTCATGCAACTTCTATGCACTAATGGAGGCTTGGCAAGCAGTCCTTGGGGAATAACTACATGAGGGCTGAGACCACAGGCCCAGGCTGGGAGAAGGACCTTACAGACAAGAGACTTCAGAGCACCTAGCTTGACCAGACAGCTGGACCAGCCCAGTGATGGTGCTGGGGCCCTAACACTGTCACCTGCTGTGGGAGCACTTGCCTGTGGCAGAGCACTGCACAACAGGACTGCAAACCCCAGCCAGCAGTGTTTATCACAGAGCGGTCCAGGGATGACATGGCCGAGCTTGGCAGTGGAGATGAGTTCCTAAAAAGTAGCCAATAGGCCCACTTGCTCCATGGCTTTGTCTATATTTATAAGGTCACTTTAGGTAGCTGGGCTAAGGGATTCCACTGATTTTTAAAAATGGGGGGTGGCGGGGTGGGGTTCAGGTAGTCATGGCTTTGCATCAAAACTATAGAGATCAACTGAGTGTCCTGGCACACACCCATTATCTCAGGACTTGAGGAGGTAGAGGCAGGAGGACTAGTTCAAGGCCAGCCTAGGCTATATGAGATCATCTTAACCCCACTGCTTCCTCCCTCCCCAACACCCCAAGCCGAGAAACCCTATAAAAGAATCTTCCTCTGCTTGGTTGAGAGTTCAGCACTGCAGGCTGCTCAGAGCAGGGCAAGCCCCAGGCCAGAGGCGAGCTGCTTTGTATGTGTGTGTTCCCTGGAAGCACATGGGGCACGGAAGCCTGTGCCTGGGATGGAATGTCTGCCTTTCTCTTCCAGGAAGTCCCTGGCACTGTTCTCCATCTCTGGCATGCCTGGCAGGGCTCCAGGCGTGATCAAAACTCATCCCGTGGCTGAGAGGGTCTGTCCATGCCAAAGAAGGATGACTGCCTTCCATGGAGGTCCCGCTCCCGCTTCACGAAGGCAGTGAATGAGGAGACACAGTTGCCAATGAAGTGGTCAGCCTGGCCAAGGATGTAGAGGTCGATCTGGGCCACCTCAGGTTTCAGGCTCACCACTTTCACCTGTAGGGAAGGGTAAGAGCATGAGCAGGCTAGCTCAGTTGGTAGAACCTGAGACTCAATCTAAGGATCATGGGTTTGTGCCCCACGTTGGGTACTAGATGAAGCGTTAATCTAACTACTCTCATCAATAAAAAGCTGGAGTCAGGTATCGGGGTAAAAGCTGAAAGACCAGAGAAGCAGAGCAGCAGCCACCAGAGACTTCTTACCTCTCCTAATTACCTGACCAAAAAAGATCTGACCTCTCTGTCCTGCCTTATCACTTCCTATCTGTCTACAGTCCTCCAAACCTCTTTGGTTAATTAGTGGTGAGCTCAGCCCTGACTCCAAGCAAACTTTATTTGTCAAAACACAAACAAAATATCACACAACACCTCTCCTGACTGAAGTTTCAGACACAGGGAGAATTGGAGGGGATGAAGATGTGGGCTGGTTGAGCCCTGTTTCCCAGCACAGCTCCCTGAGCACCATTCCTGCTGGTGGACCTTCCTCTGCCTACCCTACAGTGCCCTCACAACTCATTAAAAGGCTGCCCAGGCTTGGAGGTGTACTTATGTGTGCAGTATGACAAAAGGCCCCGGGTTCTATCCCCAGCATCAAACAATCCTCCCAAGAAACCCTTCAAGCCAGCTCATGTGCTGCTTGGTTGGCAAAGAGCATGCAGTCACCTTGTCCTGCTGCCAAGATGCCCTCCTCTTTCAAGCAGCACTCCTAGACCCAATGTCCTGTCCAATCTACCCACCCCTGAGACCTTTGCAAAGGTAAAGGCTTACCTCTCCCCGGGATGACTGACTTCAAGGACCTCCTCCCTGTCTCTCACTGCCTCTTCTGGTCTGGTCACTACAGAACTGCCCTAAGAAACTTCTGAGATACCCATCTTCCTGTTCTCATGCTATCCAAGCTGCATACCCTTTACAGGTGTCCTGGGCCTTTAGATAAGGATGGCAAGTCATCAATGCACCTGATAAGGCCTGCCTAGGCTGGCTCTCCCATCACCCACTGTTCTTCAGGAGACAGCACCATCTGCCTAGCTCACTCACTTTTTGTTTCTCCTTAGGACCTTTACAAATACTGTTCTGTTATGGGGGATCCTGGCTAGTTTAACATCAACTTTAAATAGCGAGAGTCACCAGAGCAGAGGGAGCCTTGGTTGAGGAAATGCCTCCATAAGACTAGGCTGTAAGCAAGCTGTAGACCATTTTCCTAATTAATGATTGATGTGGGAAGGTTCCCATTGTGAGTGGTGCCACCCTTGGGCTAGTGCCCTAATAAGAGAGCAGGCTAGCCAGGTGGTGGTGGCACACAACTTTAATCCCAGCACTTGGGAGGCAAGAGCAGGTGGATCTCTTTGAATTCTAGGCCTGGCCTACAGAACTTGTTTCAGGAGAATCTGGACTACACGAAGGAACTCTGGCTCAAAAAAAAAAAAAAAAAAAAAAAAAAAAAAAAAATCATCAGGTTGAACAAGCCAGTTAGCAGCACCCTTCCAGGGCCTCTGTATCAGCTTCCGCTTCCAGGTTTCTGCCCTGTGTTGGGTTCCTATCTTCACTTTAGTCATGAACAGTGGAAGCTCAAGCCAAATACCCCTCCCCAACTTACTTTTGGCCATGGTGTTTTATCATGGCACTAGTAGCCATAACTAAGACATGGGAGTAAACCTGGATGACTCCCGATTACCCTTTACTTCCCGAATCACTTGGCACACCTCTAAAGAAGCCATTCCCAAGGCCTACCAGGCTGGAGCCCTGTGCTCTACTCTTCCTGCCCCCTCCCACACACCAGGCACATGGTTATCGTAGCTCTCACTCCTCAGTGGCTCTCTAGCGACCTGTCCTGCTGGACCTGAGCTCATCTTGGCTGTTCTGCTCAGTCTCAACAGACACTGGTTGAACAGACCTTGTCCTCACTCCTGTTTTCAGACCCACAAAGTCTTCCAGTCTAGGCTGTGGCCCTGAAGGCAGGACCACATCTCATTAATTTGAATTCCCAGTTTAAAGCTGTAAGGCATCACTCAGAACAAAGAAGGGGCCTGGGGAGGTTGCTCTGTCAGAAAAATGTTTGCTTTGGAAGCAAAAAGACCTGAGTTCAATCCCCACAATGCACATTTAGAAATTAGTGCTGCCACTCATTTTTAATCCCAGCACCCAGTGCCTTTAATTCCAGCACCCAGGAGGCAGAGGCAGGTGAATCTCCTTGAGTTCAAAACCAGCCACAGCTATACAGTGAGACTCCGTTTTTTGTTTTTAGAAAAGAAAGTAAGCTAGTTTAGTGGTGTGTGCTCAAAATTCCTAGCACTGGGAAAAGAGACTGCTTGCTGAACTGCCAGCCTGGCCTCCCTGGAGAGCTTCAGGCTTGTCTCAAAACAAAAGGTAAATGATACCTGAAGTTGTCTTCTGACATCCACACACAAATCTGCACATGTGTGGACATGCATACAAATGTCACACATCAAAAAAAGGAGGAGGAGAATAGACTGTGAGCCCACGGAAAATGGGGCTGAGGGGTGGGGGTGGGGCAAGAACACCAGTACAGGAACAGGAAGTAGGAAATATCAAGAGGCTCAAGGCCTGACAAGTGCATCGACCCTAAAGCTCATGAAAACTCCCTGGGACTCTCCACGCTTCAGCTTCGTGGAGGTGCCTGAAAGCGTTCTGCTGTTCTGCCAAGGTTTCTGACATCATGAGCCTTGCCGCCTGGGTTGTAGTAAAGGTACTATCACAATCTCAGCCAAAACCCCCCAAACCATCCCACCCACTCCCTGCACTCACCTGCTCTGTCACTCCAACCACAATCGGCTCTGAGACCTCTTAGGTTAATTCTGCCCCTTCTCAGCAGCTCTCCTCAACTCCAGCATGCAGGGGTAGAGTGAGAGGACTTGAGGTCTCTCAGCTGATTTTCTATCTGGGAATGGGCAGGCCAGACCAGAAGGCACCGGCCCCACACTTCCTCGCTGGTTGGGGCATCTTTTTTTAGGGGGTGGAGTAAGTGAAAGGACAGAAAGGCACCCAATGACATAGGCTGGTAGCTCCCAATGTCTCCCTCCCCTTTGATTTTAAACATTCATATTAATAAAATAAATATTCTCCTCTTATCTGTTTCCATATGCGGAGTTCTTGGTCAGACTTGAAAACACTTTTACATGAGTCCTTGACAACCTCTAAATTATTCTTTCATACTTTTTTTGAAAATTGTCTTTCTACCATCTTCCTCTTCGGCCTGCCCAGTGGGAGGTCAGCAGTCACTCTGGTCTCCTGAATGCTCACTTAGTCACTCAACCATCATACAGGCACACTTTGTCACCAGCTGCTCCCTGGTACTGAAAACATCTGCCACACAAATTCTGCTGTTGGGCAGCACTTCCTGAAACAGTCACTACACACAAAAGATCTCCCCTTTACTCATTTCTGGTGCTAAGGAGAGCTCACTTACTGAATGTTATTTTACAGTAGGAAACATCATCAGTTCTTTGAAAAGACAGAGCTTTACAAATGCTGTTGGACACAGGTGCTATCTGGTCCTACCCTATTAAGACAAATAACACTGAGAGCTCAGGGAACTTTTGCCAAGGCTGTATAATGAATAGAATTCAAGTCTCCAGAGTTTGTTTGTTTCTTTCTCTGTGTAGCCTTGGCTGTCCTGGAACTCACTCTGTAGACCAGGCTGGCTTTGAACTCACAAAGATGCGCCTACATCTGCTGGGATTAGAGGCATGCACCACCATCACCCAGCTATAGTATGTTTCTTAAGCTAGGTGTGATGGTGCAGGCCTGTAACCCAGCACTTGGATGTGAAGGCAAGAAAATCAGGAGTTCAAGATCATCCTCAGCTACATATTACATTTTTTTTTTTAGCCAGTCTAGATTACACGAGACCTGACCCTGCCTCAAGAATAAAACCAAAAAACAGAGTATATGCTCTTAACTTCTCAGTAATTGTGAATCCCTTCTCAGAGTCTACTGTATCTTAATTCAACAAAACACCTGCACTGTGCGTCAGGCAGTGTCCTTGACACCACGATGAGATACATGGTTAGGTACTACCATAAACCTCAGAGAACAAAAGAGTGGGTCTATACCAGTATTAGTCTTCGATGGTCTAGAAAGTGCCTCAAGGAAAGAAAGGGCCATGGGAGGCTCCAGGAGGGATGCATAAGCTTCTGGAGTGGAATGGAAACTGGAGAGAACTCAGTGATGCTTGAGTTGTAGATGGAATGAAGGTTAGGAATCGAAGAGGAATGTGTAGTTGGGCAAAGAGCCGGTGCAGGGAGCAGAAGCAGGTGTTAGAGCTGTGGGACTAGCAGACCCTTGTTTTCATTCCCTTCCTGCTGTACTCCCTCTAGGCCAGGCATACCTTCTCTTTGAAGAGCTGCTGGATCTCTGGCACATAGCTCTCAGAGTCTGTGGCGATGTAGACTGACCTGGCATTCAGTGCCCTCACCCATAGCTTCACAGCCCGCTGGATTTCCTTAAGGTCAGGGAGGCACATGGTCATGGTGAGGGGGGTCGCTGTGCTGCGGCTGTAGCCCACACACTGAGGAGAAGCCATGAAGTGTGACCCTGCAGTTCCATCCTTCAGCATGGCACAGGCATTCTTCTACAGGAGGGATGGGTAGCCAAAAGTTAAGAGAAGCAGCTGCTGTCTTGGACCTCAACACAGGAATGGATAAGTAGGTAAGGACTACACAGGAGAAACCTAGTGCTTGTGTAAACGTGTGCTCCGGTGTGTGTGGGTGGGTGTGCACGCTCAACACAAGGCTTTGTGCATACTAAGCACCATGTTCTACCCCCTAACACACATATTAGCATCTGTAATCCCAGCACTTGGGAGGTGGAGGAGGCAGGATTAAGAAGTTAAGGCAAATCTAGGCTACACAGGATCTTGGAGTGAGGATATACCAAAACAGCAATACTGGTTATTTCTGAGTGGGGTTTGAAAAGCATTTTTCTGCTCTCATTATTATCTGGGACTTCAGTGGAGCTCAGCACTACCGATAAGGGGAGGCTTATCTGATTCCTGATGAGGTGGGACTTCTGATCACTCCCCTGAGGCACATGTTTGCTATGGTTTCAGAGAGATAGGCTTTATCTCGCTAAGGTGGGTCCAGGCTATTTCTGGCTGGTTATGAGTTTTTCTCATGCACTTGACTTTTATCAAGCTCTTTCTTACCCTCTAATGAGATGACTACATGGTTTTTCTTCTTTAGGTATTAGAACAATGAATTTAATTCCTGGGATGGGCTTTGCTTGTTAATATTTTACTTTGGATCTGTGCTCCTATGTTTACTAATTAAGGAATTTTATCTAAGTTTGGTTATTAGTATTTTTGGTAGTACTGGGATAGAACCCAGGGCTTTGTACATGCTAGGCAAATGCTTTACCTCTAAGCTACATTCCCAGTCTTGGCATCTTTTATCTTTCTACGTTCCAGGAAGGTACAGATGGTACCTCACAGACTACTCAAAGAATATTCTAAGCCTGATCCTTTTCCTTACAGAGTAGACAGGGAAAGTCTAGAGGCTGTGAGATTACTCCATTAATTACTATTAATCATGTGTGGTGATGGGAAAAAGACTCCGGCCTTGCCTCTACCAGGCAAATGCTCTACCACTCAGTCACAATCCCAGTCCTATTAATGAACTTATCCTAATTTTTGTTCCAGAACCTTTCACTCTTCAATTACCTGCATCTCTTAACACATCTATTTATCTCCCTAGGTATATGAAAGAGATTGTCTGTGTAGGTCCGATGTTTCGAATAAACGATAATCTGATGAGGCTTTAACACATTCACACAGATTCCAAATTCTGGGAGGAATAAAATACCCTAACTTCTGAAGAGAAGTCCCCAGTGGTTGCCACAGTCCACTTACTCTCTTTCCTTCCTTCTTTCTGTGTTTTTCCAAAACAGGGTTTTCCTGTGTAGCCCTGGCTGTCCTCTGCAGACCAGGCTGACCTCAAACTCACAGAGATCTTCCTGCCTCCGTCTCCCTGAGTGTTGGGATTAAAGGTGTGCACCACCCCCACAGCCACATTTCATTTTCACCAGCAATCTAGTGGCTAACTGAAGTGGGGCAGAGGATTCCTAGGCCAATGGCCTCGCTCTAGCTTTCTGCCTAGTTTGGGATATGACTTAATGCCTCAGTTTACCCATCTGCAAACACAAGGTACAAACAGCATCTGTTAAACACTAGCTTTCCAGCAGGTGCTCTAGATACATACTTCTGACATGTATTGTAGTAGTAAGATCATGAGATATAATCCAGACTTGGTAGAGTTAGCTGCCTCTGCTCCAGGCTGAGACTTTTCACCAATCACTATAGGCCTGGGCTCTGCTTAGGCAAATGTCAGCCAGAGAGAGGAAGAGGAAGTTACCCAGTCGGAGCCAATGCGAAGATGAATGCCCACATAGGGCCGGATGAGGTGGGTGCTGATCTGGGCCTCTCCTGTCTTTACCATCTCATCTGACCACACCATGTACTTCTGTAGTGCCCTGTGCTCTTCTAGGACAGGGAACTGGGCTGGGGCCCCCGGCAGTGCAAGCACCGGATGTTTCTCTGGAGAAAATCTAGGCATAAGATGGACAAGGGGAAGTCAGACAGAATGCACAGACAACCCTGCTGCTACCCCCACGGGAAAAGGGATGACATTGCACCATTCCCCAGAGACCCTGTGGGGAGGCCCTTATAACATGCAAGAGACGCAAAGGTTGTGAAATCTCAACGGGCTGATAAGAAACCTTGGTGGAGACAGCAGGCACAATATGCAATACTGTTCCTGCTGCACAGAATTTACAACCTTCTTTGCTTGTTTAACAATAAAAAATTTACAGTAGGGCATTCCAACATTTTATATATCATGCTGGCTTCCAATCTGTGGTGTGGTAATTCATTCCAGGGTGGGGTGTCTGGACCAAGCCTTGCCCTTTTACCCACACGGCGGGACTGAGACATGAAGCTGCTTACATAGACAATGTTGGTCACACTCATAAAGACTGTGCACATGAGATTAGGCCAGTCACTCAGAGCTTACCAAATACTTACTGATGGTCTGTCAGGACCCAGGAAGAATGAGAACAGCAAGATCCTACTTTCATTCTGTATACCAGAGGTCTGTAGAGAAACTCAGCATACCCTCTCAAGAATCTTCCCCATCACACAAAATCCTTTCTGCAATTTTTCACAACTTCTCTTTCACTAGGCCAGGCTTCAGTGGCCATTCCTTCCATGCACCTCAGTGGCCATTCCTTCCATGCACCTCGACTACTGCTTGGAGCATGTGAAGGCTCAGTAAACCACAGTAGTAAACCTGTGTTTCTTTTTCAGCTCAACCCAGGCTCCAGTCCAGCAATATAGAGCACTTTGCTGCCCATGAATTTGCAATGCACTTTCTGACTCTAGACTTCTGCATCTATCTCCACCTGAAACATCTTCCCCACCTGCTGAAATCCCTTCTAACCATTACAACCAAGTGCAGCTACTCTGGAAATGCATGCAGGTAATTTCTCATGAAATTAGACATGCAATTATAATATGACCCAGTGATGGCACTTCTGGGCATTTATACGGGTAAATGAAAGCTTGTATTCACATACAAACATGTACACTAATGCTCGTAGCAGTTTTACTCCAACTGCCATCAACTGGAAACAACCCGAATAGAAATAATAGTACATCCACACCATAAAAAACCATGGGCTATCAGCACAAGCTTTGGCTCTTAAGGGAATTATTCTAAGTGAAAAAAGCCAATCCCAACAGGGTACAAACCATATGACTCCACTTACATACCTCTGAAAGGTCAAAGGGAGAAGAGGCCAATGGTTGCTGGAGTTAGGGATAGTGTGAGTGTAGGGAGGCAGCTATAGCAATAAGCTTGCAATATAAAGATATCTATATCGAAAGAATCACTCAGTATCTTAGCTGTGGTACTGGATGTATAAACCTACACTAACTATACAGAACTTACATATACACAGTTGTACATAAATTTAAAAAAAAGACGATTTGAACAACTAGGATTACATCACTGTCAAGACCCTGGCTAGTATACCCAGTCAAGGGTATATGACGAGATATCTCTAAAGTGTATATGGATCTACAATTTTTATTTTTTAAAAAGTAAAAATTATGAAAGGGATGGAAGAAAGGACCCATGGGATAAATGTACCTACCAACCAAGCCATATGACCTGAGTTCAATTCCCAGGCCCACAAGATAAAAGGACAGAAATGACTCCAGTAAGTTGTCCTCTGTATACTGCCCTTCCAAACTAATGTAATGAAAGTAACACAAAAGAAAAATGTAAAACATTATGGAATATTGTAAACCCTAAAACAATTTTGGGAAATAATTTACACACCAATGGCCTTCATCAGCAGACATTAATAATGTATTTGTTTCAGGGTTTAAAAACATATGTACGTAGGGCTGGTGAGATAGCTCAGAGGGTAAAGGTATTTGTTACCAAACTTGAGAACCTCAGCTGATTCCCTGGAAACCACATTGAAGGCGGAGAGAACCAACTCCTGTTAGTTGTACACACACACACACACACACACACACACACACACCAACCAGAGAAAAATTTAAGAAATTAAAGCCATACCTTACCACCTTTTTCTCTCTTTTTTTTCTTCCCCCCTGAAGATGTTTTCATGTATGAGTCTACCCACCATCCATCCATGCCTTAATTTTCTTGTCTGAGAATAGTCCTACCTCCTAACACCATTAACAAACACATCTGTACATTTAAGGTATACAACATGCAATGATCAGCACAGTCAAGCTAATTAATATACCCATTTATAGGGCTACTGAGAGGATTAAGTGGATTAATATATGTAAAATCTTTAGAGCAGTACTTGGCACAAAGAAAGGTCTTACAAAATTCAGGGGCATCATCATCATGTTACATATAACCTAGTTCAACTTTGAAAAAAGTTGAAAAAAGTGACTGGACCATGTTGATCATAGAGATCACAGGGTCATGATGACATCTCTTGAAAATTTCTAGTTTGCATGAGTAAATCCTGTTAGCCAGCGAGGCTGTTTCATCCTCCACTCACACCACAGAACTGCAATGCACCTCCACTCACACCACAGAACTGCAATGCACCTGCTACCCATTCTTCACACTGACCCAAACACACTGTATACAGCAAACGCCTTCCAAGTCTCCAGATGGGTCAGCACTCACAGGCCTCAGCTCCTTGTCCTCTGCATGCTCAACAGCCATCATTTCTGCTGCCAGAACTGGAAAGCACTAAGGACAGCGGCCCTAGCAGTCTCTTTACCATGATTTCCCCAGGCACTGGTCAGAGGGCCTCCACAGCCTGGCTCTGTATGATGTTTGGCTGGCTGCACTCTTGAGAGTCTGTTTATGTGTATATACACAGCAATAATGTACTGAGTCATATTATGTGAGAAGCAATTGCTTTATTTGCATATTAACTCATTTAATTTCCACAAGAGCCTTACGAGGGAAGTGTGCCTTCTATTATCTTACTGATAAAGAAGGTAGACACAAAGAGGCTGAATGACATGCAAAGTCACAGGGTGGGAACTGGTGAAGCGGGGTGTGCATCAGGCAGCCTGCTTCACTGTTTTTTAATTTTTAAGATATACGGACATGGATATGTATCTGAGTGTATGTATGTGCCTTTTGAAGATGGAAGGTGCCAGACCTCCTGAAATTAGAGTTAAAAAGGAAGTTGTGAGCTGCCTGATATGGGAGCTGGGAACTGAACCTGGGTCCCCTGCAAGAACACCAAGTGCTTTTTTTTTTTTTTGTTTTTTTTGTTTTGTTTTTTCGAGACAAGGTTTCTCTGGGTAGCCCTGGCTGTCCTGGAACTCGCTCTGTAGACCAGGCTGGCCTTGAACTCAGAGATCTGCCTGTCTCTGCCTCCCAAGTGCTGAGATTAAAGGCATGTGACACCACTGCCCAGCAAGTGGTTTTTTCCTGGCTGTTCTGGAACTTACTACGTAGACTAGACTGGTTTTGAGCTCACAGAGATCATCCTGGCCCTGCCTCCCCAGTGCTAGGAGAGCCATCATGCCTGGCTCAGCCGTGTTCTTAAACAGTCCTACTAGCTGTGTTCTTGACTCCTAAATCTTACTTTCATTTTCCTACCCAGTCAAGGAGCACCTCCTCATAGGGGAATGAGGCTTACTTCTCTGAGCAGCAGCTCCTAGCAGTCAGCAGGTGCCATAAGTATTTTTAGAATTGAACGCAGGGGATCAGGGCCTTATAAAAAATACCAGGGCATGCTGACAGTGGTGGGTAAAGGAGGCAGAAACTAATATTCCTTGAGCACCTATTATGGGCGAGGCCCCAGGCTAAGCTCTTCTCAGACATCACCTCAGGGGCCTCTGAAAGGAAAACAAGCTGTGAGTCACTAGGATAAATTGGGATTTATACCCTTCCTGCTCTCTTGGGAAGAGCTTGGAACTGACCCTTAGTGAATTCCCGTTTTGGAATGTCTATCCCTGGGCCCTGGACCTGGGCCAGCAGAGAGCTGTCCCAGTAGGACCACATCAGCTGTGATTCAACAGGCAACAAGAGGTCAAGACTCAGCTGCTCACTCTCCTCTCCTTCAGTGACATCTGAGAGAACTGATTAGAGAAAGAGCTGGAGGAAGGTCTTGTTTGAAAAAAAAAAAAAAAAAACCTGACCAACTCCACCAGCCAACCCGACCATTCGTTCTAGGTTAGTCTTAGTCTTAGCCTGGCCACTATTCCAGAGGAAGGTTGGCTTCCCACTGCTGAACCTGGTAAACTTCAGGGGTACATCATCATCAAACTCTGACTACTGAGATAATCTAGGCTCAGCATACACTGATGGGACCAGTAGTTTACACCAGGCTGAGTACAGAGGACACAGAGACACAAACAAGGCAGAGTCTTGCTTTCAAAGTCCCTGCCATAAAGGACACTTTCCCTTCTGTTCTTTGTGTGGGAGCTCTGGGTTAACCTCCAGGTCTTCACAGATTAAGCCATGTAGACCCTGCCGATCACACATGATCTCTGTGTCTCCTCAGAAAGGCTGCAGTCTGGGAGAATGACCAGCAATGTACTACAGTTTGGATATGAACTCTTTCAAAGCATCATGTGTTGAAGTCTTGGCTCCCAGTGCAGCATGGCCCAGAGGTGACTAAGGTATGAGATCGTCAACCTTACCAATGGATTAATACACCAATGGACTCATAGTTGAATGGATTAGGAGGTGTGGTTTAGATGGAGGGAGTAGGATCCCTAGGGAACACCCTTAAAGGTACTGTCTTGTCTCCTTGGCTCTTTCTGCTTCCTGTCCACCATGTGAGCTGATTTGTTCCATCACATGCTCCCTGCCATAACGCCATACTTCATTACAAGCCCAGAAATAGCAGAACCAAATGACAATGGATTGAAGCCCTTGAAACCATGCGCCAAGATAACCTTCCCTTTTTAAAGTTTATTTTCTCAGGTATTTGTCACAGGATAGAAAGCTACCACCATATATTCAGACACCTCCTCTTAATACATGAGGATAATTTCAACACAAAGGTCCATATACTTCCAAGAGCAAATAAACACACATTATCTAGGCCAGGTAGTGGTGGCACACACCTTTAATCCCAGCATTTGGATGTCAGAGGCAGGTGGATCTATGTGAGTTCAAGGCTAGCCTGGTCTACAGAGTGAGTGTTAGGACAAGTTCCAAAGCTACACAGAGAAACCCTGTCTTGATAAACAGAGAGAGAGAGGAGAGAGAGAGAGAGAGAGAGAGAGAGAGAGAGAGAGAGAGAGAGAGAGAATGAAACGGTAGAGCTGGAAGGATCCTCTGAATCCAGGTGATGGATCCATGTGATGGGAGATGACTGTACTGAATGGCTAATCAAATTGCTGTTTGGCTTTAGCAGGAATGAGATTTGGACACATGCTTCAGTACTGACAAACCTTGAAGACAATATGCTATACAAATAACTTGGACATAAACTGGAAAATACTATGTGACTGTCCATCCAATACTTGATGTTCCTAGAATGAGTGAGTTCAGAGTCAAAGCAGAATCACTAGTATCAGCCAGGGGAAGTAGGGAGTGAAAGTTAGCCTGTACTGAGTAGAGTCTCTGGTTGAGAAGAAAAAGTTCTGAAGATGGAGGGTTGCGATGGCTGCATACTGCAATGCACATAATAGTGCTTTTAAGAAGCTCATTGAGCTGGGCATGTGGTGTACATCTGTAATCCCCGCTCAGAAAGGCAGAGGCAGGAAGAACATGGGAAGTTAGAGGCCAGTCTGGTCTACATAATGAGTTGCAAGCCAGAACCTGTTTCAAAAATAATAAAACAAAAACAAAAACAAAAAAACTCCATTGACATAAATATACATACATATAATGTTCTTTTGAATTCTCATATTTTCATGTTTGAAATGGACCCTACTAGTACTACTATTTACAAATTCAAGACCAGCCTGAGCAAACACAAGTTTAGTTTATGTATATAGATGTGTATATGGATATAAAAATGCAGAATAGCAAATGTACTTACTAAAGGACTAGTGGTTCTCCTTAAATTAAACAAATTTAATTTCGCTGTTTTGTTTTTGGACAGGGTCTCATGTAGCCCAATCTAGATTTAAACTCATACTGGCCTTGAACTCCTTATCCTCCTGTGTCAGCCATCTGAGTGTGAAAATTACAGGTGTGAGCCACCATGCCTGCCAATTTGTTTCTTTATAAAAACAAAACAAAACACAAACAAAAAACCTCCAAAAACTATCTAGTCTGTGGTAGATATTCTAAACCACTCATTCTGACAAAATAAAGGTTAACCTGGATTTAAACTTTGTATAGCAGAGATCCCATAAAGATAATGGAGAATAAGTGATGGGAGATGTCATTCTGTATATGTTTCTCATACTGGTTAATGAATAAAGCACTGTTGGCCAATAGGAAAGGAAGATAGGAGGGACTAGGAGACAAGGAGGAAAGAGGAAGGAGTAAGAAGGAGTCAGGATGGAGAGCCTGGAGAGAACAGAACTGCCATTCCTCTGCTCTCAGTAAGACCACGTGGAAATACATAGAAATGGGTTAATACTTAAGACAAAGCTAGCCGATAAGAAACAAGTAACTGGCCAACAGAATTACATCAAATACAGAGTCTCTGTACATTATTTGGGGCTGGCGCGGAGGCGGGACAAGACCAGCGGCGGCAGGCGGAAAAACCGTACTCTTTACAAATAAGCACAAAACAAAACAAAAACACCCAAGCCAAAAGACCTATCCAAGCCAGTGATGGTAGGAACCTTTAATCCCAGTACTCAGGAACCAGAGGCGGGCGGGCAGATCACTGTGACTTTGAGGCCAACCTGATTTACAGAGTGTTCCAGGACAACCCAGAAGCTCTCTCTAAAAAGCTCCAACCCACTCACCACCCCCATCCCCACCCCAAAAAAGAAGGAATGGGTATTTTGGATCAGACTTGTTTAGCTCTGCTACCCCAAGCTTCATGACCTTGGACAAGTGACTTCACTCTTCTCTGCTTCCTCTGTATTATATGTGTATCTTAGATGACAATACCATCCCAAAGATTCACTAATTCTGAGTTTAAACCTACCAAAACTTAGGAACAGTGGTATAGAGCAGGCACAAAATATGTGTTAGCTTTTACTATTTCAAATATTCACATGCAGATTTAAGCTGGCTATGTGACAGCCTTGGGTAGGTTATTTAGCTTCAATGACCTCTGCTTCCTTCTGTAAAATTGAGGACTGACTGATGGAATGGGTAGTTCAGTGGTAGAGGGCTTACCAACATGTATCAGGTCCTGAGATTAATCCCCAACATTCTCAAGATGAAATTGATAATAGTAGCTATTTCAGGAAATTTCCTACAGACATACTTAGCATAAAGTAGGAGAAGGACAGCTGGCTGGTTGCTTACTATGTACCATATACTTTCTGTGCTAGGAAGCCAATACTTCAGTGCTCTTTCCATTAAACCAAGGCAGAAACTGGGACCAGGGACCTGGAGTGGTTTTTCAGTCTCCCAAGAAAGAGGCAAAGCTGTGTCTGAGTTCAGGGTTCACTCCTGTCTCTACTGTAGTCTACTGTTGGCCATTAAATGTTAAGTGCATGACCCCTCTCAATTTACATGCTCCTCTTGCCCCCTAACCTAATGAGCTTTTTTCTTCCCCCTCAAGACAGACTTTCTCTGTGTAGCCCTGGCTGTCCTGAAAAACTCTCTGTAGACAAGGCTGGCCTCCAACTCAGAGATCTGCCTCTTAAGTGCTGGGATTAAAGGCACAGACTACCATGCTTGGCTTTTAATCTGACTTATTTTTGGAGGTAGCTGTGGTTCTACAGACAGGCCCAGGACCTCATACATGCTAGGTGAGGTCTGTAGCAGCCCCTATTCTGACATCTAAGCCCAGGTCCTTTCCTGCCATGCCAGAGCAACAATGACAAATTCCCCACATAAGTTTATCAATCTGACTAGACTGTGGTTCTCCAAATACCAGGGCTGGGCCATCCTCATTGTTACATACATCTTTGGTCTCTGAATACTGTGTCTCACACATGACAGACGCTCCATAAATATTTCACAGCTTGTGCCCCTGTCCTGCTAACCTATTTTTTTTTTTTTTAAATAGGGCCTATGGCACACAATTAATAAAGTCTAGCTAGTAATTATGAGGGTGACATCACTTCTCAGTCTGCCTGAGCCATTCTCCAGGCAATGCTTCCAGATTTCACCTTGTGAAGAGGAAGACAAAGGGGAGTGATTCTCACACCTGGAGGAGGAAATCGACATGCATGTGACTGAACAATGTTCTTTTTATGACACCCCTTATCAGCTGAGAAACTTGCTCAACCTTGGGGCAGGTCAACATCCCGCTGTGTCAGGCAATGAGATGGAAACAGATCACATAGGATCCCAAGTTCAACAGACAGAATATAGTGCTTGCACCTTTGGTCTCTTACAAGAGGGTGGGGTAGAGCTGGAAAGGCCAGGAAGGAGCTAGATGCCCCTGAGCCCCAGCCCTCCCGAAACTCAGTACTGCTATCCCTTCAAGTACCTCTGGATCCATTGTTCTTTGTAGGAGGCACTGAAGGAAATGCCTGTGAACAGCTCCGACTTATTGAAACTCACATGAAACTGGTCCCAGAATGGCCCAAAGGGATTTCCTTCCTGCAAAGAGAGTGGTGGAAAGCTTACTCAACAGAAGGGAAAGCTACCTGGGAATGGGGCCTTTTGGCAGAGAGAGGGCCCTGGGAGATGGTTTGACACCTAGTAAAGAATTCTTATAGAATGGCTTCTCTTTTGATTTCCAGCTGTGTTTGAAGAAATTCAGTTCACATGTCAAAGTCCACTAACTCTGTAGTGGTGGGGCAAGGAAGACCCTGGGCTGGAACTATGAACTAGAGCAGCGGCTCTTAACCTTCCTAATGCTGCAACCCTTTATAAGATAGCTTATCATGTTGTGGTGACCCCTCCAGCCATGAAATTATTTCATTGTCACATCATGTAATTTTGCTAGTTATGAGTCATAATATAAATATCTGTGTTTTCTGATGGTCTTAAGGACCCCTGTGAAAGGGTCATTTGACCCCAAAGGGGTTGTGATCCACATATTGAGAACCACTAAACTAGAGCTTTAAGAGGCTAATACAGTATGCTACTGTTTAAGGTGGAATCAGACATACAAAGGTAAGACACGTGCCCAGGGTCAGGCAGCTGGTAAGGGAAATATAAGGAATACAAGCTAGGCCCTTTCACAATTTATACCTTTTCTACCATTTGTACCAAAAGATAACTGGGGTGTATCATATTCACAAAGCACCAAAATGCAAATTTCTACTAATTATCCATGACAGTTCCTCATCTACATGCTGAGAAGTGGGTGCTGCAACATAGAGCCTACTCTCTATGAGCCAACCAGAGCAGGCAGTAATAAAGCTCAGAGAACAGTGTGCCAAAAGTGACACTGCTAACAAATGCCAGAAACAGACCAAATCCCCATCTTTCCCCATATTGCCACCTCAAGGGCCTAGAGGACACAGAATAGGCTCTACCTTCATGGGACATGTCTTCTTATCAGGACTTCGCTGGGCTGCCACCTCAAAACAGTATGCTACTCGCTTCTCAGGGGGCCAGTGGACGGGTGCCAGCTTTTCCATGAACTCCTCCAGGCTAACAACACGATGGTAGGCTTGCAGGGGCTCCAGCTTGAAATACTTCTGGTAGGACACATGAAGCTAAAGGAGAAAAAGGAGGGATATAAGTCTCCACAGTATTCTCGTTACTAAAAAGTATACGCTCTGACGCCCAGACTACGTGATATGAGAGACCTGTAGTAGGCTTTGAATCAAGCTCAGTGGTAGAGTGCCTGCCTAGCATGCATGAGGCATAAGGCTTCATCCCTATTACAACAGTCACAACCAGACACCAAAGTTGGGACAAAGACAAACTAAGAGAAGCTATCATCCAGCTCTAGAACAAGCATCTCTGGTGTCCACAATACCTGATGATCTACAAGCAAAGGCAGGCAAGTGAACAACTCACAGCAAAGGAAATCCATCCAGCCCATTCATTCAAAAGATGTGCAGCCTCACCAGCAGTTACAAAAAGGTAAGCTGCAGCTTTAATGGCTTTCCTTTTCTCATACGAGCAGAATTTTAAAGTAAGCTTTCATCATTGAACAAATGTAGAACACTGAGCTCTACAACCTTCTGTACAGGGCTGCTGGTAAAAGTGCCTGCTTTAGAACAGCTACTTGGGTCCTTACCCACAGCATGACATGCTCCTTCTATAGGAGGTATTTATCCTGGAGAGACTTTCATACATTCTATAGGAGGTATGGATGGCATTGTTCAGTGACTCAGCAGGAGCACAGGAAAGAAGCAGGAGTCATATCATAAAGTCTGTGAGAGTAGTTTCCTCCAGGGAAGAAAGACCAGGGTTAGCAAACTTATAGACTTTACTGACAGTGCTTTTTCTCTCTCTCGACAGGGTTTCTCTGTATTGCTTTGGAACCTGTCCTGGAACTTGCTCTGTAGATCAGATTGGCAACGAACTCACAGAGATCTGCCTGCCTCTGTCTCCAGAGTGCTGGGATGCTGGGATTAAAGGCATGTGTCACCACCACCCATTCAATGCTTTGTTTCTTTTCCTAACAGAAAAGCCAGGCATGCATGTGATCAGAAAAGCATGTACAGTAGTATATGCATGTGATCAGAAAAGCATGCACGGTGTTGCATGAATGTAATCCAACCACTTGGAGATGGTGGCGAAAGAGCAGGAGTTCAAGGCCAACCTGGGCTTTATAAACATCTGTCTCAGAAAGCAAAAATAAAGGAAAATAGAAATGATGAAGCAAGAATGAGAAGAATGTGTTTATGAGGACCACTTCTAGTCAAGTGGGTTCATGGATGATGGCTATATTCAACTTAAGTTTTCAGATATTTTTAAGAAAAATCTGAGTCAGGTGTGTATGGTATAGAAGCAGGAATCAAAAGTCACTCACACCTATAGAACAAATTTGAGATCAGCCTAGGCTACATGAGACTGTCTCAAAAAAAAAAAAAAAAAACCAAAACCAAACAAAAGAAAAAGAAATTTAATTTAAATATATTCTTACCATGGAACAGAATTTGGATTCCATACTACAGGTAAAGATTTCTCAAGCATATTGCAATAGTTCAGGTGCAGGAAAAAGGTTCCAGAGCTGCAGGTGTCTTAGTGAATACAATTAATCTCAGCACTCAAGAGGCAGAGACAGGTGGATTTCTGAGTTCAAGGCCACCCTGGTTTACAGAGTGAGTTCGAGGACAACCAGAGTGAAATCTTGACTCAAAAAACAAACATATAAATAAATAAATAAATAAATAAATAAATAAATAAGGCTCCAGTGATGGGGAGATCTAGGAAATTCTGTTTTAAATTGGCTTCTTCTCTACAGCAGGACTTCTCAGGCCTTTGCTGTGCTACTGTATACTGTCAATCTAAAATCTTGGGAGAATGGGAATTGGGACTAGCATTTCTGAAACTAGACAGGAATTTTTTAAGAAATATAGTCTCACAATCTATCCCTAGCTAGCCTGTTAGTTGGATGCAGTTCCGACTGGCCTTGAGTTTACAATCTTCCTGCCTCAGCCTCCCACTGGTAGGTAGGCCTTTAACACAGCTGACACAATTGCCTTTTGGGGAAGAATTGATCTGCTGACAGAGAAGAAAATTCACTGACCAATTAAGATCACAAGAGGAAAGCAAGTTCCACTACAGCCAGGGCTACACAGAGAAACAAAACAAAACAAAACAAAACAAAAACAAGATCGGAAGAGAAAGGGGAATTATGAAGATACTATAACGATCCTTGTATTTGTTCAAGAATGCATTATTTATTCACTTAGTTTTTTTTTTTTTTTTTTTTAAATGCAGATATCCCCATGTAGCCCAGGCTAAACTTAAGCTCAAAGCAATCTTCCTACTTCAGCTTCCCAAGAGCCAGAATTATAGGCATGAGCCACTACAATCAGCGTATTAAGCATGCAGTTAATATGTACCTCCCAAACATCTAAGTGAGAGATGAAGTGGTCTAGATATAAAAGGTGAAGCTGAGGCTTTAAGAGCTGAGTGTGTACTCAGGAGGGGCATTCAGGATGAAAGCTAGAGTACCAGTTTGGTGCCGAGGTAAATAGAGACGGTGTATACTGAGGCTGGAATTGTAGATGGTGACACAGAGTTCCAGCTTTCTGAATCTGATCTGTGGTCAGAGTAGAATCTGTACCAGAGGTGTACTGGAGAAGTAAGGAAAACAGTGAAAGCTATGCCAGTCAACAGGAACCAGAAACGAAGCAAGGCCATGATAACAACAGCAGCTGCTATTCTGTGAGTGCTGACTTAGTGTGAGGTACTGTACTCAGCCTTTTGTAAGGATCTGCTCATCTGACTCATCTGAGCCACAGGGTTAACACCAAGCACAGAGAGGACACGCACCAGCAGAATCGTGAGTGAAGAGAGAAGCCTCAACTGAGGCACAAAATGGGACCTTGATGAGGTGAGGACTGCAGAAGGAATAAGCAATGTGCTAGAATCCAGGAGAGGAGGGACGTTTAGGAAGAGGAGAGGCTCATAGGATGAGGAGCCACTGGTCAGGTAAGACACAGCTTGAGAAATGAACCTTGAATTGGCAATTCTGAGGACCCTGGTGACCTAAGTGAGAATAGTCACTTTAGGAACTGGAAACTCACTTGAGATAGGCTGAGAAAACCCATAGAAGGCAAACAAGTGGAGACTCAGTATGACAGCTGGTGGAGGCTAGGATACAGCAAGCCAGCAAGACAGACAGATAAGCAAAATCTAAATCTATCAGTGAAGTCTAACAAATCAGATCTGAGGATCCCAGGAGCTGAGGAACTTCTTGTGTCCTGGTTTTGTATACTGAGAAGCCTAGCTGATTCTAAGAGGAAGGCATAAGGCAGGGTCAAGGCATTTACTATCAGTAGCTCATTTAGTCCTCATCTTGTAAAGAGGAGGAAACCGAGGCACAGAAAGATTAAGTAGTTTGCCCAGGCTATATAATTAGGAAATGGCTAAGTTAAATTGCAATCTGCAGTCTGGGTTTTTATTTCTGTAAGAAAGTTTTTCAGGAACAGCTGGGCAGTGATGGTGCATGCCTTTAAGTCCAGCGCTTGGGAGGCAGAGGCAAGCAGATCTCTTTGAGTCCAGCCTGGTCTACAGAGTGAGTTTCAAGACAGGCTTCAAAGCTACCCAAAGTAACCCTGTCTCCAAAAAAAGCCTTTCAGGGGTAGGGGTACAGCTTGGCAGAAGAACATTTTGTTAGGATTTATAAGACCTGGGTGCAATCTCTAGCATTACAGGAAGGGTGGAAGCCTTTCCAAAAAGAAGTATGCATGCAAAGGAGAAAATAAAATATATGCAGAGAAAAAGCATTGGAATTAAATATGGTACTTTGTTCATGCTAAGTATAATTTTGTTAATTGCTTAAACTTTTAAAGCCAATTCATTAAGTAGTAAGTTCCTACATCCAGGTCTCTGGGGACACAGTGAACAAAAGGAAACAGAGGGCCATTGGAAGACACAAAGAATAAGCTAAGTATCAGAGGACAACGAGAACATCATGCCCAGAGAGCCCCTTGATTGGATGAGAGGCAACTCTGGAGCCAGACTGACTGGGATGGTAGCCTTGGACATACTATTAACTAAGCCATGCCTCTATCTCTCTTTTAAAATTGATATGAGCACTTATCACCTATTAATGACCAAAAGGATATACATAAATAAGGTGGACTGGACTGGAAATGGAGGCTTCAGTTTCAATACACAATCTCTGGAAGGAGACAGCCTGGGGTTAAATGCAAGTACTACCCATAGGCTGTTCAATCTTGGACAAGTTACCTCATCCCTCTAAACCTGGGTTTCCTGGAGGATGAGCTGCCGGAAAGATGAGCTAATCCTCATGCAGTGTTCAGACAGTGCCAGCACATGGCAGGTGTTGGGTAAAAAAGTCGATATTTCAAGGAAGACAATTCTAAGTAGAGAAAAGGACAAGCCTAGAATGGAAGGAACACCCAAAGGCCTTGGAGGGAAGCAAGTCAGCCAGCACAGGGAAGGGTGGACGGGGCCGAGGTCAGAGTAAGTACTCACATTAGTGAAAGGAGGCTTGTGATGCTGGTACTCAATCCATGGAGGTACAGCCAAGGTGCGGTTCAGCAGCTTTGCAAATGCCAGAGAGCCCAAAAAGTGATCGGCCTGGTTCCCAAAGCGCCCTGGAAATGGAACACTGTGGGTAGAGTAGCCTGGACCACTAAGGGCATGGTGTATGAAGGGCTCAGAAAAGATGTGCATTCAAGATGGCCAAGTAGGGACACTGGCACCTAAGAGAAAGTCTAGACTTCCATCCACATTGGACATTCAAGGCCCTGTAGGTCCTGTTCCTTTTACCTCAGCCACCCCAGATTCCATGCTGTTTCCCTAGCATGCTCTATAATCCCCACTCTTGCTGTTTTCTTTGCTAGGAATTTCCTTTATCCGTCTCTACTTATTTGCGCATGAAGGGGGGGGGGGTGACCCTGATACCTCATCAACTCCTCAACTCCTATCCAATTCCTTTGCTCTCAGCATGCTCAGCACGCTTTGAGTTACTTTTTTTTTTTTTTTTTTTTTTTTTTTTTTTGAGACAGGGTCTGTGTAGTCCTGGCTGGCCTGGAACTCGTTCTATAGACCATGCTGTCCTTGAACCTGTGACAATCTTCCTGCTTCTACCTCCTAAGTGCTAGGATTACAGCTGTGTAATCAGATTATATATTTATTTATGTGCTGGGGACTTAACCTAGGATCTTAAACATGCTGAGCTATAGCCATAACTTGGTTGTTTGTATTTATTTCTCCATCAAATGTCTTTTTTCACTTTCCAGCTGTTCGTATCAGCTTTTTTTTTTTTTTTTTTTTTTTTTTTTTGCCAGATTCTCACTATGTAGTCTTGGCTTGGCTGCTCTGGGACTCTCTACGTAGATCAGGCTGGTCTTAAACTCAAAGAAATCCACCTGCCTCTGGCTTCCAGTGCTGAAATTAAAGCTGTATGCAACCACACTCAGCTATCATCAATATGGCATTCATTCATTCATTGCAAAAGTACTGCAAGGCCAAAATGTGCCAGACATTACAATATAAAATCAAGCAAGGATAAGATTTCTGCTCTCCAGGCACTCAGGTAAAGAGATAACTAAACATGAGGACAAATTCATTAAGGTAGATTTTGATAGTTTCAAGGAAGAAATGAAAATATTTGGTGATGGGGAGACTAAGGAAATTACTTGAGTAGAGGTCAATGGATACCTACAATGACAGTCCAGGAATGGGGGTGGGGGGCATGTAGACAGAAATTAGAGGAGGGTGTTTCAGGAAGAAGGAATAGCTCATAGACCTTTGTGTGTGTGAGGAACAGAAGAAAGCAGGCTAGTGTGGCTGTAGCTGGAGGGCCAAGGGAGAAGGGGTATGGAGAAGACCAGAGTGGAGCTAAACCATGCAAGATGACGGCCATGGTCAGATATGCAGACCACTGAAGGGTTCTAAGAAGGAATGAATTTTACAGAGATGATCCGCTATTCCATTTAAGTTGCATCCCTAGACTCGTTCTCTTAAGAGTCCTTGTTATCTTTTAGTACCCCAGTTTTTATCATCTTGTACCAAATTATTCACGTACTTAAAAAAAAAAACCAACTTTTATTATCTGTCTCCCTAAATGAAGGATCTACAAGGGTATGTATGAGGTTTATCTGTCTCATTCATCACCAACACAGAAGACAGCGCCTGGGACAATAAAAAGAAAAGTGTGGCACATAAATATTTGCTGAATGAATGTAAGAACTTCCACGAGACAGCGCCGCCGAGTCTTGCCCTACAAACTCCATTTACTGGTCTCCTAGTAGGATTAGACCTCCAGTGAGTCACCTAGCTTCTCCCGTCCGACGAACTGCAAATTGAACACTGCTGGCCCCTCTGTACCCATGCAACTAGGGCAGCGAAAAACATGCCCTGCCCCACACAGGAGGTCTCTCCTGGACTTGACGAGACGTCTCTAAGCGCCTCGCAGAAGAGGCTCCGCCTCCCCGGCCTCAGTTTCTCCATTTGAGCAGGGGGCTCGAGAGGCCTTACCCATGCAGGGACAGTAGAGCAGGTAACCGGCCGGGTCCCAGGAGCCCACCGACCGCCCCCGAAGCGGCAGCAGTAGCAGAAGCAGAAAAGACACCCGCAGCAGCAGGTGTGGCGGTGCCCACGCGGCGGCGCCCATGTCGGCGGCGGAGCCTCAGAGCGTCGCGGCTGGGAGGCGGGGAGAGGAAAACAGAGGCGCGAGTGGCCGCCCCGCTCCCGACGCTCCCCGCGCGCCGCCCGCGCGCCGGCTGGGCCGCTCTAGCCCGCGGGCGGGCGGGACCATAGAGAGCCCGCGGCACCGCCCCCTCCACGACCCGAGCGCCCGCTCGCGCGGCTCCCACAATGCACCGCACAATGGCCCGACCGCCGCCACTACCGGGGCCTGAGCGGGCCTGGCGGAGCCCGAGCGCGGCCCGGCCCGCAGCGCGGGGTCCCGAGCGCAGTGAGTGCCGGCGAGGGTCCTGGGGGATGGCGGGGAGCGGGGCGGGAGGCCGTCGCGCTGTGCCCACACGCCCGGCACTCGGAGCGGCGGCGCCCCTCACTTCGGGCCGCCCAGCGCGGTCGCCCACACCCCTGACTGGGGGCCCCCTCTGCGCTAGCCGGGCCCCGGATAGGCCCCGTGGTGACGAAAACGCTCCCCGGACCTCAGACCTGTGCCCGGGGGACCGGAACAAGCCCTTCAGGCTCCCTCCATTTCTAGACCTGGAGACTCAGCCCTGAGGGTCCCCCACTGTCGACCCCCCCAGACTCCTTGGAGACCCAGATAACACGCTGCTGACCTTCCTCGGGATCGCGGTCTGGGGGCCATAGATAAGCTGCACCTGCTCCCTCCCTCGGACACGCCTACCCCGACCCACATAACCCCCTTCCCTGCTCCAAATAGTACTACTCTCTTCGCTCTTTCGTTTTCCAGACTTTCATAAACTTACTTTGAGGCTTCTCTCCAATATCTCGGTCCGAAGAACCCCAAATACGGTCCTACCTGTAGTTGCCTCCCCAGTGACCATATTGAGAAAACTTCGGACATTTTTCCATCCTGAGGGCCCCATTTCTAGACCCTCTTGAAATTCAGAGAACTTAGCCCCCCCCCCCCAGCTTCTTTTGACCTTTAGAATCTCCCTACCTCTTTCTCGTGGTGGTCTCTTAGAGACCCAAATAACGTGTTCATGATTCTTTACCGTGCATGCTTGCTCTTCTCATCTCCGAGACCCTATCTAAACTTCGTTCTGAATTCTCATCCTTTCTGCCCACTCTCCAAGCCCACCTACCAATGGCAGGGAGAATTTAACATTTCACACCACAAAATGTGGTGATCTAGCAGCTGGTCCAAAGACTAGACTGTTTACAACTCCAGCTCCGTGCTGTGGTCCACCTTGGGACAGATGGGGAAAGGGTCCTGGTTGCTGCGGGGTTGGTGCTTTCACTTGCAAGCATACCCTGACTCCTGGCTTGTGTGTTTTTCCACCTGTCAGCCTGGGGCAGTGATAAGTCTGGCCTTGGTTTCTAACCCTCTCCTTCCAAGGAAAGTCGGCTGAGTTGTGTGTGTGTGTGTGGGGGGGGGTAGGTGAAAATGAGGCCTGAGTTGCAACCATTTGCTCAAGGCCTCCCCAGGGGTGGGAGGCAGTGGGAATCTGAGGAAATAGGGAATCAAAGGGACTCCAAAGAGGCCCATCTACACTGACAGAAGAACTAGCAGCCCGAGAGTAAATCCTGCCCCTGTTAATCCTGTTTGATGTTTCTTGGAATGATGCAAGTCATTGAGACTCTTAGGCCTCCCTGTAATTTAATTCTCCCACCATTCCGGAGTGTTGTGTGTGCACTGGCCTCTGGAAGTGGGCAGCTATTCCCATTGCTCCTTCCCTTCTTGCTGTTTTCCAGCCAAGCAGTGTTCCTTTGGATTTGTTTCTGTTGTCCAGGTCAAGGCCTGCTTTGTTTTCCCTTCTAACGCTATTTATAATTTCCCAGTTGCTATTTTAAGTTCTTTTGTGGGAAGATTCCACCTCCAAGAACCTTTCTGGGTGTGTTTCCTCCTAGGCAGGTGTTGAATTGAGTTCTTCAGATCCCCAAGTAGCTCTTGGGCAGGAGGGATAAAAGCTATTTTAGGGTAGTCACTGAAGTGGAGCTGTTAATCCTCTGTGGGTCTCTTTAGTTAAGAACACTCAGAGATTAACCCTTTCCTTGCTGCAGAGACTGCTGGCTATCTCAGCATTATTTGATGGGGAGAGTTGGGAAAACTGGACTGGCAGCAGAAGGTGGGAACTCAAAATTCAATACAAAGATCAGGATAATAGCTTTCTTTTGCTGGGCACTTTGAGCAGGCTAAACCCAGTGCTGAGCTTTTTGCATACCTGACTAAAATAATCCATACAACCAGACTGTGAGGTAAGTATTTTTAGCTTTACAGATGAGGAAACAGGCTAATAATGGAGAAAGAACGCAGTTTCTATAGAGATGATGTAACACCATAAAAACTATAGTTTCATCAGAGGGCAGCCTACATCACAGCACTACAGGAGACAGACTGGAGCTTCCAAAGGCCATGCAGAGTATTGAGCAAGCATTCTTACTTTGGGTATGGAGCTTTAATAATAGAAGAGGGTGTGATAAAGTGGCCATCCAGGCAAGGAAAAAACTCTGTCCCAGGAGATGTGCTAGAGGAAGGTAAAGGGCTTGTGCTGAGAGTTAACAGTGAGGGCAAAGAGGAAGGCTGAGTTCTGAGATGTTGGGAAGGGAAGGAAACTGACTTTGAGGCATGAGAAGTAACAGTAAGAGGGAGAGAAAAGTTATACTTGCCACTGCTGAAGAATGTCAGCAGCGCTGTGGCCCCGTGGCCTTGGCGTGTTCACATTTCGTGTCAGTCTCAACCGTACCTTTTCACTTCATCCTCTCGAGAATGAATCTCTTTCAGAAACTGAGGAGAAATGAAGTAACCTGCCTGTGGTTTCACAGCTAGTGAGTGGTAGCTCTTCTGATAGCAAGTCCAAGGTTCTTTCTGTGCTGCCTCCCCCTTCAGATCAGATGCCAGAAGAATCTTGGGCTGAAAATACATTGACTTATACCAGTAACTGGGAGGGATTGTGTTTGTTTTATGGAAACAGGTTCTGTCAGCTTCTACGGTTAGAGTGTGAGACTAGAAGAACAGCTTTGAAAGAGAAGCAAAATTCTTCAGTTTTGGCAAGAAGTCTGAAGGAATAGGTCTAATTGTATTAATCAAACCCAGGAATTTTTTCTGGATCAGAGGAGTATACAGACAAAGGAAACAGAAAGTGAGACTAGATCTCCAAAAGGTTCCTAGGTAACACCAACAACTGTGGCTGCCCAGTAGCCTGGTGGCCACCGGTTGTAGGTGAGGATCTTACTGAGTTTTTGGTGGTGACTCTTTTCTTCTAAAGCCATAACCTCATTAAAGCTGATCAAGTTGAGCACATGGTTCCCACCTTCTTTCTTTAGTTCTAACTGCATCCTTTTGAGCTCTTAGCCACAAGTAGCCTGTTTCCTAGAAGCCCATTACTCACTCTTTCAGTAGCAGCATGCTAAACTGCTGTGTCTTGTTTGTGCATGTTCAACAGAACAGATGAGGTGGACGTGTGGGAGGTGGGGATGTACCATTCTCTTTCTGAGTTTGTACGGAATTTCCAGAGTTAGACTCCCCCTCCCATCACCCAGAGTGATGTGATTTGCTTTCTTCTAGCTGCCATTCCCAACTTCCAAAGGCTGAGATGCATGATTTAGATACAAAGTTCGAGCATAATTTGACTTTGAAGGTACGGGAAATTCTCTCTAAACTACACAGGCATACTTGGAGCTCCTCTATCCAGTTCCAGGGTACATAGTAATCGCTGGTATTATAAACAGGTAATTCCACCCTTGCGCAGGAGGGGGAATTTGAACAATGAAAGCCAGCCATCGGAGGCCTTTGAGGTGTATAGAGAACAGCCAGATATGCCAGGATAACTCTAGTGAGTCTAGTTTTCAGTAATTTCTTGCCCTTCCCAGTACATGATTAGTACAAAATACTGCCATTTTTATGCAGATGATTCTAGGCAAATCCCCACTTGTGATGGGGAAATGTTTGTCATATTATATTACAATGTTTCTTCAACAAAAGGAATGGTTCCTGAACAGGATGTAGCTCATGTTATGATGAGCAAAGCTCTCTGGGGCATGAACCCGCTGATACTATCATCTCGTTCATGGCCAGTCTGTTGGATGAATGGTCACTGTAAGCAGCAGGTGCTAATTAGCTGAGCAAGCATTCCATGATCCACAGCTAGTTTGTGCAGTTGAAGCTCTCCCCAGATTCTTGTAGCCAATCCACAGATAAACCATCATTGCTCTCTTTGCATGGAAAATCCTCATGACTAAATTTTGGGATAGTCTCTGAGTTGGTGCCAGGAAGGGGTCATGTTACTGTTGCTTTGTCTTCCTCTCTTTATTACACCACTTTACCAGCAAGGGGAAGGGTCAGATTTCAAGTTTTGGCTCCTCTCTCTGGAGGATGGCAAACCCTATTTAAACTAGAACTTCTGGGTATAAAATAAGCCCCTGAGTAACAACCTGAATTTAGTGAGTAATGTACTCATCTAAAAGGAAGTTGAGATTATTTCTCTAGATGTTAGGTATATGGGAATGAAAGAAATACAGAAAGTTCCCTCAAAAGATTGTCAGATAGAGAAGACTTAGATTCGAATCAAGAATGTTTATCTGTCCTAGTAGAGAATTTTATGTGTACCCTCTGAGTCTGTAGGATGAACAGCTCAGTACATCACTTTGGGTTTTTGTGGTTTAAAAGAAAACAAACTAACAAAAACCATGGCTTTGGTAAAGATGGAGCTGGAGAACAAAAGATCCAGAAAGGTGGTAGAGGTCAGAGTGGAACCTAGTTTAGGAAAAATTCTTGGAGGCTACTGTTGTTCCTCCAGAAGGAACCTCCTGATGTCAGTGCTCTGCTAAGAACACATGTGGCACAGGCCCTGGCTCTTGGGTATGAATTTCCTATGAAAGTTCTTTCTCTCTGTTGCCTTTTGGATATTTTATTGTTCTTTAGCATATCTAGTGAGGGGAATAATAGAAAGTGGGTGGAGGGGAGTAGGAAGAGGAGAAAACTAAGCTTTGTGGGAAGGATGTAAAAATGAAGAGAAAGTTCAGTGTTTTGATCTTTAGTTCCTCAAACTACCTTGTCTCTTCTAACCTAGAGTTACTAGTAATAACCTTGGATGAGCACTGGTTAGCATCCAGCACCC